CTAGTAGCTTCTTGTTACTACTAGTAAGGCACTTGTTACTAGAAGCGATGCACTTGTTCCTAGTAGCTTCTTGTTTCTACTAGTAAGGCACTTGTTACTAGAAGCGATGCACTTGTTACTACTAGCTTCTTGTTTCTACTAGTAAGGCACTTGTTACTAGAAGCGATGCACTTGTTCCTAGTAGCTTCTTGTTTCTACTAGTAAGGCACTTGTTACTAGAAGCGATGCACTTGTTACTACTAGCTTCTTGTTACTACCGAAACGATTCCCAGTGAAACACTGCAAAACCTCGTCTCTTGCAAGCAAGCTTTCAGTGACCAAAACCTTGAAACCGCCATCGAAAAACCTGGAAAGCTGCCTTTTGGTCTCTTCGAGCCTCTTCGAGCCTCATCTCTTTTTCTTTGTACAAGTAATGCCAGGAGCTACTAGTAGCTTCTAGCTCCTAATAGCGATGGTCTCCACCTAGTAGTTTCTAGCTACTAGTGCACTTGCTACTAGTAGCGATGCCCGTTGTCTCGTTCTCTCCTTTTGCTCGCCTTCAGAGCAGTTGGCCACAGTGGCTGTGCCCTCGTAAGGAAATTGGCACCTGCAAGAATTCGCCCGTGTCTCAAGCGTCCGAAAATCGCAAATCCAAAGCGAAATTGAAAAGAAAAAGATTCGTCACTTTGCTCTTAGGTTGGAGGCCATCGCTAGTAGGTTGGAAGCCATCGCTATAGCAGGCTGGAGGCCATCGCTAGCAGGTGGAGGCCATCGCTGCCACCGCTACCAGGCGTAGAGGCCATCGCTGTCAGGCTGGAGACCATCGCTAGCAGGGCCATCGCTATTGGGTTGGAGGCCATCGCTAGCATGCAGGTGGAGGCCATCGCTATCAGGTTGGAGGCCATCGCTAGTAGGTTGGAGGCCATTGCTAGCAGGTGTAGGTTGGAGGCCATCGCTACTCTGAGGGTCTTTATAAGTCGTGGCTTTTATACGTTGTTTATAAGCTAATTGCAAGTACACGTACGGAAGTCATAGGCTCACTTACAACGTCCACAATAAGTTCCGCAAGTACCACCGGCAGTTATGGAACTTGTAAGTACAACGTTGTAAGTAACGCTAAAGTACCACAGTTTTAGTTACGTCAGTTGCGCGGCACGCACGCGGTAATTACAAAAGATTGAATTTTGAACTCACTCATTTGTCTAGCATGTGCATGCGTGCATTCAGCAGCGTCAATCGGGCTCAAAACACGTGTTCAAGCCGCAGTCGAGCAAGACTTTTGGCATGAGTGGCTGCAGTTGGGAACCTTGTGTGAAAGCAATGGAGCAGGCTCTGAAGAGTTTGGAGCCCAGCTAAAAGGAAATCAGGCACCTGCAAGGCAAGCAGCGACAAAGGTCACATTCACGCGCGCAGAGCCGGAGACAATAGCGTTGTCTTCACGTTCTGACGGACACAACACGCACACAGTCGCGGACAAGAAGAAAAAAGGTTCCGGCAGTACCATACCGCGTTCCGCGCGCGTACATGTTGCGGCTTTTTGCAACGTCCGCAAAACGTCCGCGGATGTCCGAGGAACTGAGGCTGCTTACTAAGTGTAAATAGGGACCAACCTCCGCGGAACGTCCGCGGCCTCCAGTGGTTGTTTCTTGAAAAATAGGATGTATACATATACATATATACACGCAGGCTTTCTGGCTCAACGCTGTTTCCGCAAATGTATTTGTCTCATGCTCACTGACATGTAGGCGGCCAATTCGTGAAGGCGGTTTCTGGCCCTGCGCGCGGGCTGTATCTGCACTTGCAGACTATGGAGAAAATCACAGACCACCCATGGGGTAGTCGATGGAAAACATCAGGCCTGAAGAAGTGGTGGAAACCACAGCCAGAAATTGACATCACGCTTGCTGCTTGGTGGTGTTTCCTAGGATCTGATGTATATTGCCTGCGTTAGTCGAAAAAAGACTGCTCGAAAGCTGCATTCATGACGTCTAAAACCTACAAGAACGCAACAAAAACAAAAACGACGCGGTACATACGTGACACTTTCGCGCTAGGCGTAAGTACAACGAATACGTTCAACGGTAAGTACACTTACAACCTCCGCAAATGCACGTATGAGTAGTGTAAGTTATAACGGCCCTCATAGTATTAGGTTGGAGGCCATTGCTAGCAGGTGGAGGCCGTCGCTATTAGGCTGGAGGCCATCGCAAGCAGGTGGAGGCCATCGCTAGCAGCACCGCTATTAGGTTGGAGGCCATCGCTATTAGGTTGGAGGCCATCGCTTTTAGGTTGGAGGCCATCGCTATTAGGTTGGAGGCCATCGTTATTAGGATTAGGTTGGATGCA